ATCTAATTATAATAACATGAAATAAGACCACAATAATAACATGTTACAATAAGTTCAACATTTTAAAAGATAGCAAAATAGTTACAACTTGTTTTTTCAAGTAACTTGCTACATAGGCTTGTCTCTTCATTTAATTTGATGTTGTGATGCAAGAACCACCTATATCAGTAATATCACGCTGCAGTGCATGTTTCGTGCGATTCGGATCACAATTTTATGTTGAAGATAAACCACATATACAACATTTTCAAATTCATGATATAATAATGAACATTATTAAATATATAAATTTACATTTAATCATATTAAATTTGATCTTTATGACATAAATATCAGTAATATAAATATGATGAAAAAAATTTGAACTCCTACCAAACCTTACTTATATTTTTATCCATGAATTTTATTTGACCAATATATTCGGAATTTTTACCCAATGTTTTTATGCTAATAATCAACCTCAATAGTCATAATAAAAAAAATTATAATTATAATTATAATTTTATAATTATAAAAAAATAAAAAATTCTAATTACATATATAATAATTATTTTACATAAGGCATATAATATATAATAATATAATAATTATTTACAGATATAATAATTATTTTACGCTTCATAATGCAACATTCCAATTTCTGAATAGTAGCCACCCTCAAACGGCCCATCAGAATTAAAACCCAAACCAGTAGCAAACTAATGGAACCCAACAATAACCCTAAATTATAGAAATATTATCATTGGCCAAATTTGATGCTTAACAAATATTAATGTTAACAAATATTAAAATGTAATTTATGCTTAATCAAGTAATCTAATCATAATATCATGAAATAAGACCACAATAATAACATGTTACAATAAGTTCAACATTTTAAAAGATAACAAAATAGTTACCGCTTGTTTTTTCAAGTAACTTGCTACATAGGCTTGTCTCTTCATTTAATTTGATGTTGTGATGCGATGACAACCTATATCAGTAATATCATGCTGCAGTGCATGTTTCGTGCGATTCGGATCAAAATTTTATGTTGAAGATAAACCACATGTACAACATTTTCAAATTCATCATATAATAATGAACATTATTAAATATATAAATTTACATTTAACCATATTAAACTTGATATTTATGACATAAATATCAGTAATATAAATATGATGAAAAAAATTTGAACTTCTATCAAACCTTGCTTATATTTTTATCCATGAATTTTATTTGACCAATATATTAGGAATTTTTACCCAATGTTTTAATGCTAATAATCAACCTCAATAGTCATAATAATAAAAAACTTATAATTATATTTTTTTTAATTACATATATAATACTTAATTTACATAAGGCATATAATATATAATAATATAATAATTATTTACAAATATAATAATAATAATAATAATAATAATTATTATTATTATTATTATTTTACGCTTCATAATGCAACACTCCATTTTCTGAATGATAGCCACCCTCAAACGGCCCATCAAAATTAAAACCTAGCCCAGTAGCAAATTAATGGAACCCAACAATACCCCAACAACCTAACCTAACCCTGTCCATATAAACCCCCATTACCCTTCGTATAAATGATTCACGCATTGGCTTTTTACGCAGACCATCAGCCATTCCGATGACTGCAACCCTAATCTCTCTCTTTACCTCTCTGTAATTCATACGCATGCCATAGCTTGCTACCGTTTCTTTTGTAAACAGTCGTATCTGAGCATTACTACGGCTGAACAAAGGGCTTAAAGGGTCAAGTCAGTGTGTGATTTGGCCGAGGAAGCCTTATTCGACCCCAACCACGGCTAAGAACACAGACTAACTTCTATACTTTTGTTTCGTCGTTTTGGTATTTCCCCTATTTTTTTCCCTATTTTGTATTGATTTCCATGAATGCTGAGTGATATTAATTGACCTCAGAAGTCCTGCTTTTGATAGATCTTTTGTTTATTCCCAGAGTTCTTGGTGCGCATGTTATCTGTATTATGTAATAATTGACTTGGAAAGACTATTTTTACAAAATAATTTGGGTTGTATGAATGACATAATTTGTGACTGATTATAACAAAAGGATCTCAGATCTGTCGTTTTGCTTCGCCGTTTTGGTATCTTCTGTAGTTTTGTATCTATGAAGGCCGAGTGATACAAAAAGACATCATTACGTTTAAAATGGAAATAAAACTGTAAATTGAGACAGGTATCATCACAAAAGGAACAAACTTACGTTTTGAAATGTTATGCGTATATTTTCAATTCTATCACAATTACTGAGTGCTATTTATTACTCGTATTTGATTGTTGTGAAGAATAATTATTTTTCATCATATTTATAATATCTGTTCTGTTAAAGTCAACATTGTCGAACTTAAATGAGATTCGAACCCGTGATCTTACCTGTGAAAGTGACAAAGTGCTGCCATAAGAGTACAAGGTACCTAAGATCCTACTTTGTTTGTATGGAGTAAGGGTCTGTTTGCAACAACTTCTACTTTTAAAAAAGTGCTTTTTTAATGAAATGGAGAGAAATGATTAAATAAAAGTTGATAGTGTTTGAGAAAAAAGTGATTTTGAAAAGTAAAAGTGGGTAGTGTTTGGTAAAATAAGTGCTTTTTGTGTAATAGAAAAAGTAAAAGCACTTTTGACGCAGAAGCCGAGAAAAATAAAAGTTGTAGTGTTTGAGAAAATAAGTGCTTTTTTAAAACCAAAAGCTGAGAAATACTTAAAGCAGTTGCAAACCAACCTTAAATAATGTTGGCGGAAGAACCCGAAATTGATTGGGTTCAAGAGTGAACCCGTTCACTTAATCGGGTCTGGTCAGGTTTTTAAAGACCTGTCCAATCGTTTGCGCTTACAGAGCATTTGAAATTCAAATCCTTTAAAACTGGACCCCACTTGAAGGAGAAACCGCCATCTTTTTCATCTTCCCCAGTTCACTCTCGCCTTAGCTAACTCTCCGCCTTTCTTTCTTCTTCCCACCAGTTCTAGTAGAAGCACAGAAACGAAAGCAAGAAAGACAAAACCCAAAATGGTGGAGCCCAAGAAGGTGGTGGGGTACGAAGAATGCCGCCAGAAGCGGCTCGAAGAAAACAAGAAGAGGATGGCTGAGCTCAACCTCAACAAGCTAGCTCAAGCTCTCCGAACCTCCCCTAAACCCTCCCCAGTAATTTCAACCATCTTTTCCGCCCCTCCTTCCTTTTAATGGTTACATAAAGTTGAAATCTTTAACTTTGCAGATGAAAAAGACGAAGCCGCGGGTTAAGCTGCAGCTTGAGCTGACGGCTGTGAGAAGGTCGAGCCGCGTCGCCGATAAGCCGGCTCCTTGCTACAAAGAAGTCAGCTTTCTACCTCCCCAAAGCTGTACCTTTTATTTTCTTCAAGTCCTTAATCATCACTGTTTAATATTTTCTGCAGATTGGACTTGAGCCATTGGGGATTGGAAGGAGAAGGTAGTTTGACAGAGGGTCTTGTTATATTTGATATTTTGATGACTCTTTTTTGTGGTTTAAATACATTTTGCTTTGGAATTTACTTGTAGTTACAAAAGAAGAGATTTGTTGAACCGGGTTTATGCATCTGATGATGATAGAATGTATGCTCTTCAAAGAGCAGAAGATTTAGAATCAGGGTTGGATAAGGAATTACCAAGCTTTGTCAAACCCATGCTTCAGTCCCATGTAACTGGTGGCTTTTGGCTGGTAAAACATCTCAGCCCAAACATGGTTGTTTCATTATATATTGTTCAACCCACAAAACAAAAAAAAAACTTATCTTTGCTGTGTGTGAATTATATGTATCTACATAGGGACTCCCAGTTCATTTCTGCAAAACTTATCTGCCAAAGCATGATGAGATGATAACTCTGGTAGATGAAAATGGGGATGAAAGCGAAGCCAAATACTTGCATTCGAAGACTGGTCTTAGTGGGGGATGGAGGGGGTTTGCTATAGAGCATGAATTGGTTGATGGGGATGCTCTGGTTTTTCACTTGATTCAGCCTACTGTGTTTAAGGTAATTGTCAGAATCCCATCTTTAGAGGATAATAAGCTACTCTTTCTCTCTTATAAATAACTACTCTTTTGACTTGGCATATGAACTAAGAAAGGTAAAATTATGTGACTAAAAGGAAGTAACAAGAACCATATATTTGTAGCCTTAAGATGAAATAAGGGTTTAACGGGGTGTGGGGGTGTGGGTGGAAAAAGATAATGAAGTTTATATGAGTGTATAAGGAGATGATATTTGATTCAATCTTTTAATTTGTTTTGACCAGAGTGTCATATGGTTAACCAAGTGAAATCAGTCCAGTCTTAAATCTTATAACAGACATGTTTGCTTACATCTATTTCATCCTTAAACCAAACTTTAACATACAGAATAGCCTAAATAGATCAAATTTGACCAGACTTATATAGTATATTAAAAAGAACATGTAATACCAGATCAATGTAGACCATATATAAATGCCCCCCATCAAACCTGTAAGTTATAATTCAAATAAAAGATTGTATACTAATCAATCACAAACTTTAAGCTGATATTGTTTTGTTTACCTGGGATTGTATGTTTTATTATATTCTGTCTATATTTTTTAGTAATGGTTTACTGTGTCCTCTTTCAATGTCCAGGTTTACATTATAAGAGTCAATGAAGCAGATGAAAATGGGGCAGAGTAGTGTCAGCTTTGTGTACTAAACTATGTAGGAAATGCGAGGGTCGGATATAACTTCACCCTTTTGTAGAAAAAAAGCTTCTTGTTTTTTGTAAACACCCAATTATTGGGAAACCTGTTAGTCCATGTGTGGTATTGGAAATCATGGGAACAATATCATGAAATTGAAGTGCTCACTTCTTTCTCTACAATATCATGCTGCTTAATTTTTAAATAGTTTGCTAATTTGATTATATCACAATGTTCAAAACCAGGTTAATCTAATTCAATGTAGACTTGTAGACTTTGTAGTTCGATGCTACTTGAATGAATCCAAAATCATGCCATTGCCAAATACCAATCAAAATTAGTTCACCTCTTATTCGATTGTTTATAGAACAACTTGAAAACTTGAATTACTAAGCTGTAAATACAAGCAAAACTGGCAAAATAACTCACTATGCCATTAAGATAAAAATCAAGTTTCATGAAGTTAAAATATTACATCAATTATTAATATTTGTCTCTCATCTATCATGACTCATGAATTCATGGACTAGTGTGGTTTTGGCTTGAATCCATCAACAGCAAAATTTCTGGTTGCTGCTGGTATAGCTAACCGAATCCCATCCAGTTCAGGTTTTGCGATTATTTGACACCCAAGGCGAGACCTGCGGGCAAAAAAAGTATATATATCTGTTATTGATGGAGGAAAAAATAAAAACATACGCAAGGTGAGCCCATAAGTAAAATTAAAAAGTACAAATCTGTTCAGAAAAGAGGAACCTACGTCTCTGTGAGCCCAAAAGCAAGGTCCAACATGTCATATTCCTCATCAGCTGGATCTTCTAATTTGTTGTAGTACTCCATATCCTACCAAGGTGGGCCAAAAGATAAATAAAAGACAAGTAAATTTAATCTGATTGCACAATTTTTGAAATAATATCTGAGAAATGGTCGCCCCTTGATCAACAAAAAGAAAATAGAGGTCTGTTTTTATACCATAACAATTACATGACAAGTGGAACATGCAAGTGATCCTTCACAAGCTCCTGTTGCATAAGATTAAAAACAGAATCAGAGATCCATTAAGACACCTACAGGCTACATCAACTATATGACATAACTTGCCCATGTTTCCTGTTTTTTTTCCTTCACAAAAACAAGAAAGAGATATTTTTTGTGAAAGCGCTTTAAAGAGAAATTCCATTATAGGTTACCTTCGAGATCAATGTCATTTTCATGTGCCGCTTCCAAGATAGACATCCCAATGGGGACCTTTATCTGCTGTTCTTCTCCATCCTTATCTACAAATGTCACAGAAATTCTGCAAATTGCAAACAAACCATCACAATCATTTTTTAACGCGTGAATAAGTTTTTCAGATGATTTGGAAAAATATTGTAGATTCCAGGTAAATCATTTTCCACAATAACAGCAAGATGTCAGGGACGAGGTATCTAGAGTGTAGACTACCAAAACATGCATGTAACTGTAATTTGTGTAAATTGAGATTCAGCAGGGAGCGGGGTGTTTCAATTTATGTTTCAATTTATACGAAGTATTAGATTATTAGATGGTCAGAGACATGATAACTATTTACAAACGGATTACATTGGTTATCTCGTAACCATGCCCAACATAATACTCCGTATTGTGTTATCAATTAAAGACTGGAAAGAAAGCAGGACTTATCCATGCCTAGTATGTTGAGTTAATTGACCAAGTACTGAACAGGAATACTTAAACAATAAGGCTCATCGTTAAGTTGAGTCAATTGACCAAGTATTAGTTATGAAACAGCCCTTTGTTATCTATTCAAAAAATAAGAATAAAAATGGTATAAAAGAAGGTAAACATACTTTTGTTCTTGCTGAACTGCTTTGTCTGTGTCCTTATTTTCTGCTGCTGTACAAAAATGTTCCCGCATCTGAATATTTTTAGGGAAAAGGAACAAATAAGCCCTTCTACTATTTCAAAAACATCACATAACCCCATATGCTAAACAAAGTGTCATATGACCTTGCTTACTATAAAGTAATCGTCAATTGAACCGGTAATGTGTTTACATGGATTTTTTCTTAAAATAAAAAAATTTAAGCCCAACAAAATACTGTGGTGCATTTTTCTTATTCTCACGTGCACATCCCTCTGCCCTTCTTCTTCCTAAATTATTGACGAGAAGATTAGCTATCTTCTTACACTTCTCCTTACAATAAAGAATGTGAATAGGCTGGGAGTTGAGACTCAGTTAAACAGCACTGTAGCAGCTTTCTTTACAGGGCTGAAAAACGATTTATGGTAGTTTACTTCTTTCTTCACAGGACTGAAATTACCATTGAAAGAACGAAGCTTCAAACAATGAAAACGCTACGTGAATGAAGACACTTTGGATGCATTATAGTTCAATTCTCACGCCGGATTTAAAATCATTCATCGCTGGGACCAAATCACTGATGCTCTCCTATGGTGTGAAAGGTCTACAACATATTTACTGCATCGCCTCGTAGGTCAGCATCAAAGAGGAAGGAGAAGATTGCAGATGTGAAGATCCAAGGTCGTAGGTTTTAATTCGCATACGTGCAGAAATTGTAATCATAGCTGGAGTTTTCCTCTTCTCTTCTCAATAACCGCACATGGTTCTTTGTATGCTTCAAAAGATGCTAACTAGCAAATCGAAATCATCAACATTCCGTAGAAACCAGTCCAAGGAAAGGAAAAGAATAGGTAACAAGAAATAAAATGAGAAAACACCATGCCACGAGATTGAATGGCTTGGCATTTTGAAAACTGCCACATATAACTATGACCTAGTAAATTAGGTCCCTTTCCGGTTACATTAGTTAAATGACAGTTCTTTATGAGTACATAGATTTATATGATGATTAATTTAGCATGTGTTTATGTGATGGTTTTGAAACAGTAAAAGAAATTATTTGATCCTTTTTCCTACGTTTTATGCACATAAAATAAAAGTACTCCACCTGATTGTTATTTTAAAATCACAATTAGTGAGAAATTTCTACAATGAGTAAAAAAAGTATGAATGAACCATATGTTAGCCTGCTCCCAATTGGCACTTTACAAGAACAGAAAATCAAGGTAAGGAATAGAAAGAGTTACAGAGAGTTGATCAAACTTATAAAAAAAAGGATTAGCCCATGAATCAAATCTATAATCAAGTCTAATATTGAAAGGCCCTTAAATCAATTACAACTGTGTGCTAACTAGAGGGGAAATAAAGGAAACAAAAGCTTTTAGAATTCTAAGGAGAGGGCTATAAGAATCATAAGATCATAGAAATGGTAAAAAGCACGCACAACGAGGCAGTCATATATTATCCAATACAGCTACTTTTGCAAATTTAGTAGGAATGTAGGATTCATTATCAATTTATCATCCTATGTTTTCATTCAGAATGCAGTGCTATTCAAAATGCCATTGAAATTCGAACAGTAAAAGAACAAAATTCCTCAAGAAAACCTTCATTTCCAATATTTGTATTGTGGAAATCAAAATAATAGGATAAATATGAAATGGTGACAAAGGAGGAATAAAGTTAGTGAACACGTCAACATGTTCACTATGGAGCAAGTTGAAGTAATAAAAAATGAGAGAATCTACCCATTTGTCACGCCAATGTCCTCCACAGTGAGCATGTTGTCATGCTCACCATATTTTTCGGACAAAGGATCCCTTTCAGCTTCCATACCATAAAAAACACTTAACAAATTACATTCACCATGACCAAATCAATTCCACAATATAACAGTTCCAAATTCACCAGGGTAATAATTCCCATAATCCCATTGCATAAAAGATTTCAAGCCATACCCTGGGACAAAGCTCATCTCTCAGCAATCTAGCTGAATTCCCACTCAAACCGAGTACTTGGTAACACTCTCTTGCTGACCTGTATTCTAAACATAGATATAAAAAATGCGCCTTAAAAAACATAAAAGTAAAGCCTCGCATGGAAGCTCAATAGACTCAATTCCTTTTTAAATATGAATAAATACCTAATAAGAAATGAGTTGGTCAAGGAGAGGGAAGTCAAGTATAAGCAAAAACGAAAAAAAAAAAAGTATTCGTGTAGGCCTAACTTCTTATAGATAACTAACAGAAGGCCAAGTTTCACATACCATGTCGAGAATTGGAATTAAGTAGGGCATTACTTATGCAGCAATTTCCCGTGATATAACTTTTACCAGCCTGAATTTATATCAGTAATTTAGTCCGCCATAAAACAAGATAAATTGACAGGTACGGAGAAGGGGAGGAGAGAAGGACGAAAGTAGAAAGAAATTCTTACAGAAATATGTGGGATCTTTCCGGTGACAAAGCGACGAGGAAGACGGTCGACTACTCGAAGACCTCTGTAAATGACCATCTGAACCGGAGAAAAAGCAAAGAGCTTTTGACAGTAAAGGCCCCTGATTCTCGTGAGAGGGGAGAAGCGAACACGTTCGGCTCATCGGGTGGGTTCACGGCGCATTTATGGGCCGGGTTTAAAGTTCCCATAAGACCATTTGGAACGATGTGAAGACCCAAATAATAAAAATGGACTTTGTTTATACGTAGTATGAAACAATGATTTGACTTCTATTTCCCTGCGTTCTAGCAACGTCAATAAAATTTACTCAATATATTTTTTATATATCAATTTAATAAAATATTAATTAAATCATTATAAGTAATATTTTTCTTTTAATTTTTTCGCTGAATAATTATGAAATAAAAAATACACTTTTCGATGTAACGATAAATAAATTTCATTAATTTTTTTAACGTTTTTCGGTTAACAAAAAATGAACCTAGTTCAAGTTAAGTTGATTATGGAATATTTTGTGAAGGTTTTACGAATTTAAAATTTGTGTTTCATATTTTTTAGGCTCAAAAAATTTCAACAGTTAAAACTTAAAAATTCAGATTTTTTCATTATATATATTACATATTGATGTCATATGAAAGATCATAAAAATTCATGAATTTGATATATCTTTTATAAAATTAGATTAAAAAAAGTTATAATACATTTTAAAAAACCATACTTTTTTATATGATGGACTCATAACTTCACACTCCCCTCTCTCCTCCACGCACGTCTACCATTTTTTTTAGCCTTGGGAGTCCATCCTCCCTCCACCCCCTTTCCCATTTATACTACCCCATTGTGGGGTGTTTGGAAGTGATTTTGCTTCTGTTTCTTTTTTAAAGCAGAATCAGAATCAGAATCAGTTTTAGAAGTTGGTACCCTCAGATTAAAAAAAAACTGATTCTGGGAGTAAATTAGAGCACCAGAAGTGTTTCCAGAATTTCACCCAAACACTACGGCTTATGCTTCTACTCTTTGAAGGAGCAGAATCAGTTTTGAGAATCAGATCCTAACACCCTCTATATCAAATTAGGAGTCCAAAAATTCCACCATTAATATTTTGGACTCCTAATACCACACCACTAGAAACAAAATGTTAGAGACCTGAGTGAGTTTGTCTCGAGTTATATCCTCGAATTCCAATATTTATTAACTAGATTTTCACTCTTGAGATGCAATTAGTAAGTAATAAATTTGTGATAAAGTTGGAAGTTGGAACAACACATATATTATTTTTAACAAAAAGAAATGAAGATAAAAAATTACAAATTATTATATACTTTCTTGTAAACAACTTTTAAAGTTTTCTTATTCGGTTTTTCGTCATCAATACATATTCGGTTATTCGGTTTCTAGTAATAAGTTTCAATCCAAAGGTGACGGGACTCTTGATACCGCTTCATAAATTTGTCCATGGGTGAAAACCGGACGACATAAGAAAACACCAACCCTCTCCAAAGCTCCGTATTAAGCATCAAAGGGAATTGCATAAGCTGAAATGTGAATGGCATCTTTATGTGAGATGGAGTTAAGCTAAGCTTCGGAATAAGAAACTTTTGTCCTGAATTTGTTCCAGACATCATTTGAGCCTCGAAAATATGAGTTCTGAGTTTAGTGATGATACGGCAAGTGCCATTACACAATCCAGAAGAATAATCGATTTTCTCATTAGCATCACAAGTGCATCCACTGTCAATTTCAGCTCATGACATGACTTGCACACCATAATACTTAATGTTATTGAGAAATTCTGGAGAATGGATTTCTTGAAGGCCGGAGTGCACTGTCCGAGTCAAAAGAAGATGCATGTTGAATCCGAGTTTAAGTATGTCTTTACCTCACCAGGAGTCAAAAGAATATTCATGTTGAATCCGAGTTTAAGTATGTCATCTTTACCTCACTAGGATTCAACCCCAACACGTAATCGTTGATCTTGTCACGTTCATGAATGGTTGGCGTAAGAATTGCCTTGGAATTCAGATAATTAAGAAACATCATTACAGTGCATTTCAAAACCGGGACATGTGATCTTAACAATAGCTTCAAGCTACCCTAAACTCTTAAAATTTTGGGCCTTCAAGAAACATCGTTACAGTGCACTGTTTTTTACTTAGACAAACATACCATGCCGTCCTTAAACAAACCATACTTGAACAAAATAGACAACACCAAACTTAAACAAATCAAATCAAGCAAACAAGAAAATTCAAGACTATAGAACGTAAAATAACATATAAGACACATATTAGTCTCATACCAGACCAAAACAGACAAGACTTAAACAAACCAAACTATAGAACACACCAGACGCATATCAATCCCATGCCAGAGTAAAACAGACCAAATTTAAACAAGTCTAACCAGACCATACTTAAATAAACCAGACCAAATCAGACTAGACCAGACCAGAAAATTCCAGTCAGATCAAAAACATCCTTAATGGAATCGGTACTACTCGACATCCTCGTTCGTGGGATTCCATGTAGAGAAGTTATAACTATAATTTTCGGCTATCGGGAAGAGTACTTCATGACTGTAATAGAAGCTTAAGGGTGAAGGTGTTCCGGGAAGCTGATATGGATCACCATAGGTCATAATGTGTTGATTTCCATGGGTAAAAGGGTAGTTTGGATATGATGAAATGGGCACACCATTTTGCACTAGTGAGGACAAGTCATACTGATGATAAGCAGTTGTGCCTCCACCAGTTGCCCTATCATTATCATTTGGTGGCAAGGTTTGGCCATAACTCGTACTAGCTTCATTGCTAGTACTAGCCTGGTCTGAATTCGTCATTGTGATGACCTCATTGTCATTGGGTGGTATGCCTTGGTCAAGTTGTGAGCTCGATTCAGGGTCTTCACTCTTTATGGTTTCTTTCTTTGTAGATTTATCAACTTTCTTGTAGATACTACAAAGAACCCAATCATCCAACTGAAAACAAAAGGAAGAGATCAGAGATAAGTTGCAGAACTGTACTAAATCAGATCAGTCACTATATCTAGAATGTCACATCATAGTCAATATATAAGTCATTGTTTAATTGTTTTCATTAATTAAATCATCTACTACTAATTATGAGTATAATTATTGATATTTTGAAAGCATACATCACGATAAATTATAGGGGGAATTTGACTTTACACCCCACATTTGGAATGAAATTGGACTTTGCACCCTATTTTAAAAAAACTTTGATTTTGCACCACATTTCACTTCAAAATCCTTTGATTTTGCACCCCATTTTGAAATTCTCCTTCACAAATTTTAGATGATAGAGTGCAAAGTCAAATGTTTTTTAAAATGGGGTGCAAAGTCCAATATCACCCAATAAGTGTTAAAGCATGTCACTAAATTCTCCCTAAATTATACGTAGTTCGTAGTATCTCTTTTATAAGAGTTGAAGCATGTCACTATAAATAATACTGTACTTTCTTTATAACTTGAAACTTACCCAGCTTTGACTTTCTTAGTAAACAATGTCACAATAATATGACCAATGGGATATTTATTTATATATATGAAAATATTTATAATAAGAAAATATGATAATGTCCTTTGATAAAAATAACCTCATAATATTATAAACTTAATTATAGCTTTCATATAAAAATAATTAAAAATCATTGGTCAAAGTTTACCATAATCTACCAAAAGTCAAAGATGACAAAACTTTAAGAGACAGAAGTACTACGAATGTTTTTAAACAAACATACCTAATCTGAGAAACTAGACTAAGATAAATCCAAGTTAGATAAGAGTAAAAGAAACATTAAAAAATTATTTACCGGACAAAACTTGAACCGATCAGATTAAATCGATCGAGAAATTTCAGTCCAAATAAAAACATTTTATTACATAGTTTGTGGCTATACGTGTGTATTTGTTTTTAATTAATTATGCACGAGAGAGTGCTTATCATCAAGAAAGGATTAGAGAAGACTTATATATTGATTAATTTGATCGAATAAATACCCGCATGTTGACACCATCGACTCCCACGATTTTGGACCTAAGAGGCGGGGCATTGACTCTAAATTCATGCATGATCCATTTGGTCTTGGAGCCTTTTGGGGGTTTTCCTTCATAAAACACCAAAGCTTTTTTAAACCCTATGACGGTTGACCCATGTTTGATTTCTCTATCAGAACCCGTTGCCTTCCAGTAACCATTCACAACCCCTGGTTCGGCGCTCCCTACGGCTCGGTTTGGTCGATTACCGTTAGGGTATTTCCGATCTCTTGGCGTGAAAAAGTACCATTCTTTTGTTCCAATCATTCGATACTTTGCTGGAAAATTAGTTAGTAACAATTAAAAAATAAAGAATGATCCTGAGCACCTTAATTACACTGTCAATGTCATAAATAAAGAGTTTTTTACAAGAATATTACTAAAATAAAACTTATTTACATAAATATGATTATTCATTACTACAACGTAGTGTTGTGCTAATTTAAACTTCAAAACTTGAATATGAATTACTATGATTTCATTACTATTCCAGTAACTAGTCATATTTTTGTAAACCATCTTTATTTTGGTCATATTTATGTAATTATTTCATAAATAAAAACAGTCCAAAAAAGGTGTGAATTTTGATTTATAAAGCAAAATCATTAAAGTCACTTCGGCATCTCAATTATTTCTCATTAGGGTTTAAATATTACGGAGTAATTCACTACGGAACTTAAATTATTACTCATTATGCGACGATACGTATAAGTGTATAATTTGCTTGATTTATTGAGACATCATTTTGTATAACCAAGATACATACTCTAAAAAGTTTTTTTTGGGACAAAACTCCTATAAAAAGTTATGTAGATGCAATAATCGCAAATACAGATATACATTGTGGCAGAAACAAATAAATATTAAAATTTAGAAATCATGTTCAAACTTCCCACAAGAAGACTCATAAACTTTGCTAATATATGTCCCGACTTGTCAAGAATGAAAAATGACACAAGTACAAACAAACTTACAAATGAATAATACTGCTTACGTCTCTTTTTTCTTAGCCAAATTTGGCTTTTCAAGTTAAAGATGTTAACCTTTGACCAAATATATTTATATATATGGTAATATTGATAATATGAAAATGATATTAAAATGTTCTCTATTAAAAATACTATAATTTTTTTTTAAATTTCACATATATATATTACATAAAATAATTGATAAAAATTAACATCTTTAACTAGAAAAGTTAAAAATGGCTAAATAAAAAAGGATGAACGCAGTCTAGTACAATACTACATATTACATAATTAAGGTTTTTTGTATGTTAATGTATGTACTTCTAGCATAACACATCAAGAATATGGTTTATACCATTCATAGTACAAATTACTCCGTGGTATTTTAGAACATCCAATACAGTATAACTTAATCGAGTATAAATACGGAGTATATACATGTACATGCTTAATCAAGATACATAACAATTTTTAGTAAATACTATCTAATTATCAAGATTAATACCACGATTAATCAAATTTAAAAGAAAAACCACGTATAGATAGATTTATATATATTCAACAAAAATTTATAAACGGAGTTCAACATGCATTAGGGTTTATTTGCAAAAGCCATTCATTAGGGTTAGGTTAGCAGTTAAGCACAATATAATGAACCTGCAGATTAAATTTATAGTTACGGAAACTAGAACTAACCTGAAAGGACCTCTGGATTGTGCTTGTACAAGTTAACTTCCGGAATTTCGTTGGGAGGCAATTTCTGGTTCATTACCTTCTTCTTCAGATAGTAATGAATTAGCTCATTATCGGAAGGACAAAACCGATAGCCCGGAGGTAAATCGAAAGTATCGGCATATTCGGCGGGAAGATTATTGCTGCTCGGAACAATAGTTGGGGTCGCCGGAACATCGCCGGGACTAGGCGGAGACTGTTTCACTGGGTAGGGATCCTCCATTGGAGGAGGAGCAGGCCAGGAAGAGTTTGTTGGGATGAGAATTACCTGGAATTGAAAATATAATTAATGAATCGAATTTACCCTAATTATATACTATCGTATATCGTTTAACTTCTAGTTCGAGATAAACATGGATGAAATATTATTTAAAGCGCCGATAATTGTGCGGGAGGACAATCCGAAAAATTGAGGGTCGCATGGAGTCTATTTCATTTTGTGATTTTAATTACTTAGGGTTGTGCAATTTTTTTCATGGTTTTTTACAAAAAATATTATTAAAATAAAATTATTTACATGACTAATAGTTAATACTATCGTATAGTATAGTTTCATGATAATTTACATTTAAAAATTAAACATAAATTACTATGATTTCTTTACTACTCTACTCGTATACAAATCGCATTTTCTAAACAATCTTTATTTTAATCATACATATATAGTTATTTCTTTTTTCATCCCTATTAATTTTTCAAACTTGTATGTCAATTCATTTTTTGGGATTGCCATTACTTTTAAATTTATGGTCCAATTTTAAAAATATATATTAGATTTTTTAATTTTTATGATCTTTTATACGGTACCAAATATTGCATATCTAAATTTTAAAAATTTGGCCTATTTTTTCTGAAAAAAAAATCTATTTTTATTCTAAAAATTTAGGAAATAAAACAGTTTTAATCATATTTTAGAAATTTTCCTATGTTTAACTCTTATTTTGAGCATGTTTAACTCTTATTTTGAAAATAATTCCTATCATTTCTAGGTAAAAATGTTAAAGTTTGTGGCAGACAAAATATACCAGCATGTACTCCGTATAACTGTATAAGGCCTGTACAAATACCGTGTAAACAAGAAATTACTCTACGGAGTATTGTTTTATACTACGTATATTTGTACTACTGTTAAGAGTACAGTTCTGTCTCACAAAACAATATTTGTAGTAATAATAAGAGTACATATCGATCGACTTTTATTAGTCAATAAATACAATGATGATCAAGTTTCATCAGTGATATTTTAGAAATGTTATATGTTTATAACTAATGAAACCAGCTTCATCTTCCTCTTCTTCTTCTACGTTGCTTCTCTTCGCCGTCTCTGTTCATTAGTTTCAAATATGTGATAGCTATTCGTCCTGAGATGGGGGCGGAGTGGTGGTTGTTCGGGCTAAGGAGAGTTTCAGAGGGACTGGGGCGAGGGGAGTTGATGAGTTGTTGTTGGGCAAGGGATGCGCTGATGGGCTGTGGTGGGAGTGGATCCAGTTGTGGCGGGTTGATGGGCGGGTACACTGTACGCTGCGGGGCAGGACTGTGGAGCCATGGAGGGGAGCAGGGTGCTGGTTGGGTATTTTGACGGATATCGGTTAATTAGAGCAACAGTGCTAGGTTGAGCTTCAGCGTAGGATTCGAGTTGTTGGCCGTTGGGTGCTGAGGCTGGGTTGGGATGTGGGGATAGGGTCAGGGGTGCTGGAGACTAACGATGGGGGCTATATATGTCGGGTCTCTGAACAGACTGGGGTGGGTTGGCGGTGGTATGGGCTGGGCGGCGGCATCACAATGACCGTCGACAGTGACTGGCGGTGGCATGACACGACAGATGACGGTGGAAGTGACATGGATGATGGCGGCAGTGACATAGATGATGGTGGCAGTGACATACGACAGTGACACGAAATTGGGCAGTGACATGAATAATTGGTAGTCACTTATATTGTTTCCAAATATATAACCATCTTATCACGTTTTTGTCCAAATGCAAATGTGATCCGGTGCCACGGCATTTGATATACCCCGTATGTAGTATGTATACATTTTATTCTTTTTTTAATTGCAGCAATCCACTTTAAATATGTGCCAACACCCACCTTTGACAATGAAACTTTATAAGTAAAAAAAATAAAAAAACATATTTTGAAAATTTGTAATGAAACAACTTGAACAATATTTTTTACAGAGGTAAGATGTATATATTAAAATCATACATATTTATACTTCAAATTAAGATTGGTTAAATTTAATAAGGGAAACGGTGTATCTTTATAGATTAATATCATATTGAACCAAACAATTTAGATGAACGTCGATATGTACGTAATTATGTTAAATAAAAAAGCAGAACATGCATTAGGCTGCGCTTTGTAGAATACGTGCGTGAACTTTGTAATAGGGTAGCTATATGCACGGTTTTTTTTCAAAAAAAAAAAAGCTATATGCACGGTTTTTTTATTAGTTCTGGGCAGGGATGGATTTAGGGGGGGGCGCGGGGGGGCGACCGCCCCCCTTGGACTTTCAAAATTTTCTACCATATATGTAATATTTTCATAAAACTTTCATAATTTAATTAGATTCGCCCCCCTTATCTTTTAATTTTCAAAATTAATATATAGTGTTACATAATGTAATACTTAATTGAAGATTTAAAAGAAGGAACATCTAAAATAATTACATAACTTAAACAAATAAACAATAGAATAACTCGTTGTTTAAGATTTAGGATACTTATTATATAAGAATTCCTAGTTTTGTAGTGTTTAATTATCTTTATTAGATAACAAGTACTTGATTTTGTAAAATATATATCAAACAATATTAAATATCAGACACACTAATTACACAGTTTTTAGATCACGTGAAATGAATCCAAAATATAAATATTTATTGACATTAAATTACATAATTCATTTACTTCTTGCTTTCTAAAAATAATTTATTGCATAGATAATAAACTTTAAATTATTATAGCATTAATACAAATATTAAAATATAATATGCACCATATATGTGTGTGTGTATGTGGTGCATATTATTCTAAAAATAATAATATCATACATACTACTATTGTAATATTAAGAAAACTTCTCATGAGTCATGACTCACGAACACCCTCCTTGGTGGCCGGACAAAAATTACAATTCAATAATAACCGATTCATGAGGTTAAACAATGTAGAAGTTATTAAAAATGTATTGGTTGATATCTCTGTCATCGTCTAATTTAAACTTAGAATGTACTACTTAATAGATTTAAATGTCGTCGGAGATGTGTATGTATTAATGTCATTTTTTGAATAAAATTAGCCGCATAGCCCTACAGTAGCGGAAAAAATTCGCCCCGCTACACTAGGGAAAAAATTTTGCCCCACTACACTAACGAAAATTTTATCACTCCCTGCACTACCGAAAAATTTCGCCCCCCTTGAATAGAAATCCTGGATCCGTCCCTGGTTCTGGGGAAATCTGATTTTGTTACTAGGTATATATATGTACGGTATAGCTGCACAAAATACACATATAGCTAGTACTACGTATATATACAAATGAGATATTCATAAATATGGAAGGCCTCACAAATCACAAATACACCACTACTTTGACCCATTGAAATAGAGTAATTAGTGGTTGAGGATGTGCTAAGGCTTCAGATCAGGGCTTCGTACGGTAGCTAAGTTGTAATAATTTCCATGGTTTATTTGGCCTTTTGAATCAAATACTATCGTATGTGTTTTATTTTATTTTCCAAAATAATTTATTCAAGAATAATTAAAAACACCAATGAAATTCTTATCCGATACATGATTGATTGCACATGTACGATACCCTTTAAAAATAAAATAAAGTACCTTAACAAGTGCACAAACAGTCTACTGTGCAGAGCACACCAAATATTCCTCTACTAGGGCCAATTAATCAAGTATTACCTCCCTCCCATTTATATTGTCCCGGAAGAGGGTGACACGATTACTAAGAAAAGTAGGTTTGTATGGTTGATATTAATTAATAAAGAATAAATAAAGTAATAATGATTTAGAACCACACAAACTTTGCCAAATATGGTATGTGACAATTTAAGTGGGATTTCCTGAAAAGATAAAACGGGACATTATAAATGGGACCGAGGGAGTAACTAATAAACCGTTTCTATAAACACATAAAATACACGTAGTAACAATCTTCTAACAAGTGCATGAATGCACTGCACAACAAATATTCCTGTAGGGCCAAGTAACTAATTAACAAACAGTTTCAAACGCACATAAAAATTAAACAATCTCCTAACAAGCTTGATTGAACTGCCATCTTGATTACTAGGAGTATATACACGATCCTCTAATCACCAACGTTACTCGAATCTGTTCTCGATGTCCTGTGTTTTCATACCCTAAACTAAATTCCCGTGTTTTCGCATGAGAGTTTCAAAACTTCTGTGTTTTTAAAATTTCCTCCTCATCAATATAATGCAATGCTGTCATCCTTGTTAATTTAAAGGACCCCAAGCCCACACGTTGTAAATATCATTGTTATATATCTCGTTGAGTGTGTTAGCATCATAATAGATGTTAAGGGGTGAGGGTGTTTTGGGCAGGGAAAATGGAACACCACCCTTAATTATGGGTTGATTTGCATGGGTTAAAGAGTGGCTGGGATATGAAATCGGCATCTCAGTTTGAATCAATGAGCCCGACCCATACTCATAAACAGTTGTACCTCCATCAAGTGCCCTATCATTTGGTGGCATTGTTTGATCATACCTCTTATCTTCATTGGTAGTCTGGTCGGAATTAGTATCATAAACACTTGTACCTCCACCAATTGCCCTGTCATTTGGGGGCATTGCTTGGTCATAACTCTTATCTTCATTGGTAGTCTGGTCTGAATTAGTCATCGTGACATCATAAACACTTGTACCTCCATCAATTGCCCTGTCATTTGGGGGCATTGCTTGGTCATAACTCTTATCTTCATTGGTAGCCTAACCTGAATTCGTCACCGTGACATCATCGTTATTCGGTGCTATGCTTTGGCCATGTTGTGTGTCGAGTTCAAGGTCTTCATTCTGTCTTGCACCTTCCCTCGTAGAGTTATCAACATTCTTGTAGATCTTACAGAGAACACACTTTTCCAACTGCAAAAAATGAGTGTTTACATTACTTTTTCTTAGTTCAAAAAAAATTGAGCCCAGGAGGTTTGTACCAAAATATTAGTGAGATGTATTGCGAAATTGTATATAATCATCACTAAAAATTACGCATGTCAATTAATCAAAGATGATAGATGCATACTTATCATCATCTCTATTTAAGTACTATATAGTTTTTGTTTGATTAAATCATGGGGAATTTTGAGTTTGCACCCCACTTTTTAGGTGATATTGCACTTTGCACCCCATTTTTAAAACTGTTAGACTTTGCACCCTATCTACAATATTTTGTGAAGAAAAAATCTTAAATGGGATGCAAAGGCAAAGACATTTTAGGGAAAATAGGGTGCAACGTCTAAGAATTTTGAAAATGGGGTGCAAAGTCCAATATCATCCCAAAAAAGGAGTGCAAAGTCAAAATATCCCTAAAGTCATTAGTTAATAGAATTAAGTGTAATTATTGGCAATTCGGAAACGTACATCAAGATAAATTACAAACATTGCCACTATTAGAGTTTTAATTATATATTAATCTGTAATAGAAAGTAGTCAAAGGATGTTTCTGATCACTTGGGCTTATATCAGTCCCATATCATATACTCCCTCCGTTCCATTTATTTTGTCCCGTTTTACCTTTTCGGGAAGTCCCACTTATATTGTCCCATACCATATTTGGCAAAGTTTGTGTGGCTCTAAATCATTCTTACTTTATTCTTACTTTATCAATTAATATCAACCACACAAACTCACTTTTCTTAATAATCGTGCCACCCTCTTCCGTGACAATATAAATGGGACGGAGGGAGTACTTGTAAGTTGTAATACTTCACCACGCTTAAATAAAATAATAGACTTGACAAGATTTTAACAAACTGGATCAAACTAAGAATGTTTTAGCTATCCAAATTTTAGTCTTAGCTAGGTCAGATTAGACTAGACTTCAGTAGATCATACTTGATCAAACAAAACTAGACCACAACAAACTTAGAAAATAATAATATACATATGAAACAAATAGCTACCGTGCTAGATCATACTAGTTCAAATCAGACTTAAACAAATACGATAGTAATTTTGGTGTAGGTAAGAACACTCGATCTAATGCTCACTATGTGGCTATATGTGTTTAATTAGTACGGAGTATTTGTTTTTTTATTTATTTATATATACTACGTATATGAGATAATGCTTATCAAGAAAGTAATTACCTTCATGTTGTCACCATCGACTCCCTTGAGTGTGCTTGTTCCACCAGGTTGGGCATCATTGACTCTAAATTCCTGCATGATCCACTTGGTCTTCGAGCCTTTTGGTGGTTTTCCTTCATAGAACACTAAAGTCTTTTTGAACCCTATGATGGTTGATCCATATTTGATTTCTCTATCAGACCCGGTTGCCTTCCAGTAGCCATTCACAACCCCGGGTTCGGCACTCCCTACGGCTCGATTTGGTCGATTACCATTGGGGTACTTCCGATTTCTTGACGTGAAAAAGTACCACTCTTTTCGCCCAATCATTTTATACTTTGCTGGACGTTCATTAGTAACAACAATTAACAGGTTAAAAATGATTCAGGAATAATGGCAGCAAATTATACAAATACACAATAATGTACTTTTATGCAAATACTACGTAATAGTTTACACGTAGTAACAGTTAATATAAATGAAACACGTTTTTTTAAATGAAGTACTTTAATTAGATACAGCAATATTTTTAAATGTAGTTATCTACTTATCTTATACTCCGTACTACGTAATTATGTTATACAAAGATTGATAAAATCTAAAAGAAACCTATCAAACAAACACTACGTACTTTATAATCTTTTAATTTGTATTTTAAAATTAAGGTTATACTATACTACTATAGTATTGAGGCCTAATATTATTAATGTACAAATATTGTAGCATACGTACTCATGTTATCTCATACGTATGAATCAAGTGTATTAGATAGAATTAGCAGTAGAGATACTTTAGCTACTAGCCTTTATCCCTTCTTTTTAGCTAATTTGTTATGTATACTCCTGTATAAATATTCCCCATGTATTTCATCAATAAATCATTCATGCAAACCTTTATATATAGTACATTTCCTTATACCGACCATGGCCATTTTTATTTTATTTCCAAATAGTTTATACGGAGTAATTATTTTCACTTTGATACCTCACATTCAGGGGCGGATGTAGAGTCAAACTATGGGGGGCAGCTGCCCCCAACAAAGACTCAATAATACTTCATTTTACCCTATGAGTCATTAGAAAAAAATGTAATCCAAGTGATTGCCCCCAACAAAAATAAACATATGCCCTCATATACCTATGGCCCGGCCAGTATTTTTGCACACTAGAGTCAGCCTACTCGGCTCAAATTATCCAATGGCCAAATGTCAAACCATTATCTTTTCAAATTTTGTTAATAGGGGAGTTTAATCGCTTAAATCCCTAAAATAAGAATTGATGTACGGACTGGAGTATTGTATAATTTGTATTCAGATCATTTTTATGTCAGTATGTGTTAGTGCTAATGTGTAGTCAGGTACGTAGATTTTATCTCCAAGCATGTATATATAGTCATTTTAAGTATTATAAATTAATAATACTCCGTATATTTTATCTCAATTTAACTTTAGTAAGCTAAAAATTAACAAATCTAATGTTAAAAATTGTTATAAATAGCTAATAAATAGCAGGACTTAAGAATTAAGATAGCTAACTACCTAACTGTTTAAGATGTACTCCGTAATTTTTAAATAGCTACCAGTATGATTAAAATATGTAATGATTAAACAGTACGTATAATAATTAGTTATCAAAAAATCAATTATACTTTTTAATCAAATTTATAAATAGATTCTGGAATGAATTAAAACACCCTCATCACTACTAGCCTACTAGGATGTTCAACGGTTCAAGTACAAATGTGTATAATACTACTCCGTATAATAGTGATTCTCAATGTACTACATACTTCAATTCCCGAATAAGTTGATCTCGATGAGCTTCTTTCAGATCCCGCAAAAGTAAGATTTTTTTAATATCACCCCAATCAAGGAATGAAATCCGGGTAGAATGAAGTTTTGATGATCTTGCTCAAGTGATGGTGAAAACAAGAAAACTTCTTTGAGATTCTTTGGTATGTAGACGTTTATTAAAACTTGTTTTGATTTTGCTAGTTGCCCCGATAACTATTGAGATCAGAGATGATTTTCAACTATTAAAATAGTGAAAACTAATTTGCATTATAGAATCGGTGATTAGTTTTTGAGTGACCATATAGTTTATTATTTTGTAGAAAGAGATCTATTTGAGACAATCACAAATAAAATTGTAATATTTCAAAAGATTAAAACTCGAATAGAGCAAGAGCATTTGTGATTTACTTTATCACGTAGTAGTTTGTTGATATTGTAATATACTCCGTACTTTATTTAGTTTTAAAGTTGTCATGTACTTTGTAACGAGTTTTGCTATTCATATATATTAATACCAAGTACTCTGTATTATATTATCTTTTTTATTCATGTACTTCATTTCTATTTTGCCCCCAATACTTTTATTTCCTGGATCCGCCACTGCCTCACATGGTCGTTCAATTCAACCATTGCCGTTTATTTTTACGTAGTTTTTGGGTACTTTCTTACGAGGCATTTAGCTACTTGCCTACTTGATTGTCACATAAGAATGTACGTAAACAAATAGTGCACAAAATAAATACAGCCCAGGAGATATTGTTTATAGTACTTATATTTTTTAAATTGTTATACTATAACCGTGTTTTAGTTTTGAACTTATTTATCACTTTAAGATATGGCTATTGTGACACTACCATTTTTAACATGGTTTTCTTTATCACTTAATTAATAAATGTACAATTTTATGACACACACTCAGGAAATAATAAGGCAAACACCAAGCCTCTCAATTACTTTTATTGGCAGCAAAATTTGACATTTGTATGCCACATCTAGATCTGCTAGTAGAGGATTCTGCAAAATTTGGTGACAATACTGATGGCAGTGTATTATACGGCAATAAATACTGATTGCAATAAATACTGATGGCAATTTGACATATGTGGACCTCCCTTTTATCACGCAATAAATACACCCAAACTGCTCTAGAATAATCATCAACAATAGTAAAAAAATAGACAGCATCACAAGTAGAAGGTGTATTATACGGACCCCATAAATCACAGTGTATTAATTCTAAAACCACACATTGGGTCCGTATAATACACCTTCCACACTGTGATTTATGGGGTCCGTATAATACACCTTCTACTTGTGATGCTGTCTATTTTTTGACTATTGTTGATGATTATTCTAGAGCAGTTTGGGTGTATTTATTGCGTGATAAAAGGGAGGTCCACATATGTCAAATTGTCATCAGTATTTATTGCAATCAGTATTTATTGCCGTATAATAGTAGAGGATTCTGCTAGGATCCTCTAGAAGGTGTATTATACGGACCCCATAAATCACAAGTAGAAGGTGTATTATACGGACCCCATAAATCACAGTGTATTAATTCTAAAACCCGGCTAGCTTTATTATCACTAAGAGGAAAAGAATCACGAACTTGTTTTGCTTGCGGACAGATAATACAAGCATTATTCAATTTCTTGCTAGAATTGGAACTAAAAACAGGTAATAGTTTAGTAACACGATCCGAGGGATGCCCCAAACGACGATGCCATAGCTCAAATTCTGATAATTTGGACGATGTCACCACATGAAGAATAGGTATGCCCCGGAAATAGAAAAGCCCATCTCGCCGTTCACCGGCTCCAATCAGGTTCCTCGAGTGTCGGTCCTGTATAGCACATAATGAGTCAGTGAAAATCACCATACAAGCAAACTGATCAATTAATTGA